TTCATGCCTTTATCTTCAAGTTTTGTCTTTCGAAAGCCTATTTTTACTTAAAGTCATTTACAGATTTCTTGCATTAAACGCTTTCTTCATATTTCGAATCTTTTACGTTCCAGAGCATCTTTTACATTAACTGTTTTTATAATTCGAAGCCATTTACTTGCCTTTTTATGCAATTTTACATGTCTTTACAATTAACATTTATTCACGCAAGTTAGTTTCGTGCACATGTATTTTGATTACACCTTTAGATCTTTAAGAGAGAAATTGAAATAAGTCAAACACCTACACAACACTCAAATACTAACCATGAATATCTGTTCGATCATGAGAGTTACCCTAATGACCAAGGAATCCTAGGATCAATCTAGTCGATCCTGTGAGTTACCAGAGAAATTGAATAACAGTCAGTAAGTTTATTCGATAGTTTGGAAGACTAGCGGTTGTTTACCAGAAATCACTGGAAACACCTATATACAGTTAAACTTCAAATTTTTTGGTCAACATGAATATTTTGAAGTAATATCCATCATTTGATCAAGTGTTGATCACGATTCCTCAAGAAATGCTCCCAACTTATCAAAAGTCAAAAATGGCAATTTAGGGTTTCTATAGGAAAAGTCAACCAAACTTTGACCAAGCATAACTTTCTCATACTTTATTAGAAATTTTCCAACCAAGAATAATTTTGAATATAATCCAATTACCTACAACTCCTCCTCATCCCTCAAAGTCAAGAAATGTCTCAATCAAAATATACAAGTTCATACATTATAGGTCATTTCAAAATGTCAACAAAAACACCTTTTGGGTCAAAGCTTCTTACATGAACATGGAAGATCCAATTGAGATGAAATCAAAAGGGTTGTTTAGAGGATATCCTAAGATTTCTAAAAAGTCCAAGAACACCCCCCTAGGGTTAAAAATGAGAGAGATATGCATTGCTAAAGTTGACCAGTTTTCGGAAATGTGCATGAAGTCAATATTGATCAAAATGACTTTTTTTCCAAATGGGCCCATGTTTTATTGTTTGAAACTCGTTCCTAAGATGGCCCACGACCCCTGGGCTTATCTATCTATTATTTTATTATTTTTATTATTTATTTTTATTTTTTATCCATTTAAATCAAAATAAATCAATTTAAATAGTGGAATAATCAAATAAAATCAAAGATTGGATTTTATGAGCACATCATGAGTCCATGAACAACTAGCAAATCAGAAAAAATTTGTGCAAAGGCTAATTGATTGGAAAAGATCACGATTTAGCTTGTTTTAGAAACAAATAATGCAAGGAACAAAATCAAATCAAATCTCAACAATTTGTGAAGATACAATCCAATTTTGTTAACCTAAATCAGTCTATTATAAGTACACAACATTGCCAAAGCATAAGAAGGAGGATTGGTCGTGTAAACTGCAAGAACAAAAACTCAATTTTTGGACAAAAAGTGAGAATCAAATTTTGTTCTACAGGGCGATTCAAAGTGTTTCAAGGCCAGAAATCCATTCCTGGCAATCTCCTGAAACTAACAGCATCATTTGCACGCATCAAAACACCCAGAATCACTCCTTACAGATTCACGGTTTGCACACATATTCTTGAATTTTATTTTTACAATTCACGCATGATAAATGATTTCTAAGCATATATTCATGTTTGTATCATCCTTTAAAATATGTTTGCATATTTAATTACGTGTTTTGATGCCTGTTTGATGAAACGCCATTGCTAGGGTTTATAAGGTCGTTTTAGGGCTTTTAAATGCAGGAACAATTGACTCTAAAGATGGATACCATCATGATTAGAGGATCAAACCCAATTGATCCATGGTCTTGAATCTAATTTATGTTGCTTAATCATGATTTTTGAGATATACAGGTTATAGCTACAGACAACGTCCGTAGGTAAAAGTATTTGCCTAAGACAACATTCTCAGCCAAGAAGACGATTGCATGGCGAGGCGTGAGTGGCCAATTTAAATCTCGTGCGTTTTAATTATTGCACTGGATTTTCATTCTATATAATATATTGTTTGCGTTATATAAACGATTGAAACAAATGGTCCATTGGCAAGAGGTAAGGCTTTGCAAGGTGCACGTGTAGGAGGTCAGGGGTTCGATCCCTGCCTCCTACATGTTATTTTTATCAATATTTCTTGGCAGATTCTATGTTGCCATCACATGCGCGCACACCATACGCTTCCAGGTCACCATCATTGGATCATTCACTATCCAGATCCAACACTTTCAAGCATGCAGGCACATGGTGGACACTCTTGATCCCAACACACAGGATCCAACGTTATTTGGGCCAACCAATATGGGCCTGGAACATAATTCAACATCATCACCTCCTTTTTGGGCCTACACCCCCTCAGGCTATTTATTTCTTTTTTATTTTTATTTTTAATTTAATTATTTTATTTTGTTTAGATTAGTTTAATTATTATTTTTATTAATCAATTTTTTATGAAATCATAAAATCGAAAAGTCACAAAAATAGGATTTAGTTCTTTTTTTATATAAATTAATTTTTTGTAAATAATTAATTTTCTCAACTTTAATTTATTTTTTATTAAAATCAATTAGAAAATTAGGTTAAATTCAAATTTTTTTTTTAACGAAAAATCCAAAAATATTCTCCATGATCAAATTAGCGTTTTTTAGGGTTTTCAAACTTGTTTCCAATTTTTATTCTCGCGCTGAATTATTTTTTTTTCGTACAATACTTTTTCAATATTGATGTAATTGCGCCCGATTTGTAATAGATTAATTAGGATTTTATTTCCGCACTTTATTTTCAGTCAAATATTTATGTATCTTCCCAAAAACCTTGTAATAGCGTAGGACTATGTTATTTTCTCGCTTTTATATCCTATGCTTGTATATAATGGCTAGCAACCTAGGCTTGTATGGTTAATCAATTAATCAGTAGATCACTTAATTACAAGATAAATATCTGAAAATAAACACTGCTGCACACTTGCACCCTTAGGGTATACCTCACATGGTTGCCTCGGAAACAATGGTCATGTCCCTCGAATGTAGGGATATCTTAGCAAAGACCCGCAATTAAAAAAAACATCATAAAAGATCATAGTCCCTTACTGTTCCTCGAGTTGCCAACGAGAAATGATCTTATGATGATAGTCCCTTCGAAATGCTAAGGTATCCTTACATGTTGCCTTCAATGACCATTTCATTCCTTTCGATAGTCCCTCAACATCCAACGGCTAGGGTTACCTACTCACTAATAGTAGGATAACACGGTCTAAAGGATAAGAGGAAAAGAACGCCTTTTTTTGAGTAGGTAGATAATTGTTAGGTACTTGCTCAAATAAATTTTCACACCACACTTTCAAACCTACTTTTCAAGCAAAAGTTTTCAAAACGCTTTATCACACTTTTGAGGACTGATACAAGAGTTACCATAAAGCGAATCGCCGCAGTAAGGCAATTTTCAAAGCTTTTCAAACCACACAAACACGAAAGAAATTTTAAAAATGAGCAAGTACCTAAGAGCCCATGGAAAACCATGGATGGAAAGGGTGCTAACACATTCCCTTTTCATAATCTACCCCCTTACTCAGAAATCTCGAAAAAAGGTCTTTTTCTGTTCTTTTCACCCTTTCCTTCGTTGGATAAAAGAAAAGTCGGTGGCGACTCTTGCTTACCGCGACATTTGTGAACAAAAAAAGCAAACCAATATTAACAGTCGGTTCTGCCACCGTATCACAACTATTATCTATATTATCAAGATATTGATTTCTATTTTGTCATTTTGTTTCTTGTCTACTATTATCTATATTATCAAGATATTGATTTCTATTTTATCACTTAGTTTCTTATATATTATTGATGTACCAATACTAAAAATATGATATTACTAATCTTATAAATGGAGACTCATTCTTCCATTAATGTACCAATACCAAAAATCTCATATTACTAAAAAACATCAATGGATCCTTCAGAATTTCCCTTAGATATCGAAGCTTACAAAAGGCAGTCTGAAATCGAAGAGAGGTATATCGTCAACCGGTTCAGGGAGCGATGAAACCAAATAGAGGAAGGATATACACTTAATGTTAAGAGAAAATATATCAATAGAGATCATGCAGTGGCAAACCAAAGATTAATATAAGACTACTTTGCAGACCAACCTACATATGATGATGCAATGTTTCATCATTGATTCCGGATGCGAAAACATGTGTTCCTTAGGATCATTGGGGAACTATCTAACAGTGACAACTACTTCACCCAAAGAGTTGACACAATCAAAAAAGAAGGTATATCTCCATTAGAAAAATGTACCACGCCCATGCGAATGTTATCATATGGTGTGGTGGCTGATTGGTCGATGAATACATTAAAATAGGAGGTACAACATCATTAGAGTGCTTGCGTAGATTCTGTAAAGGAATCATACAATTGTATGAGCCAGTGTATCTCAGAGCTCCAACTCAAGATGACCTGCAAAGAATACTACATGTTAGTGAAATGCGGGGGTTCCCGGGGATGATTGGGAGTATTAATTGCATGCACTGGGAATGGAAAAATTGTCCTACAACATGGCAAGATCAATTTACTCGGGGAGATAAGGAAACCACCACTGTTATTCTTGAAGCATTTGCAACTTATGATTTATGGATTTGACATGCCTTCTTTGGATGTCTGGACACATTGAACGATATAAACGTTCTAGACCGTTCACCCGTGTTTGATGATGTTGAAGAGGGAAAAACTCCAAGAGTGAACTTCTTTGTGAATCAACGTCCGTATAGTATGGCATACTATCTTGCTGACGGTATATACCCTTCTTATCCGACTTTGTCAAATCAATTAGACTTCCTCAAAGTGAACCAGATAAGTTATTTTCAAAATATCAGGAGGGATGTCGGAAGGACATCGAACGTGCATTTGGAGTGTCGCAGGCTCGATTTAAAATCATTTGCGAACCAGCCTGTTTGTGGGACATAGCCGATTTGGCTCTGATCATGAGGTCATGTATCATATTGCATAATATGATTGTTTTGGATGAACGAGATACATATTCTCAACATTGGACAAATTATGATCAATCTGAGGCAAGTGGGTCTGGTACACCAGATCCATTCTCGATCGAGGTGTTACCTGCATTTGCAAATCATGTGCGTGCTAGATCTGTGATGCGTGATTCAAATGTACATCACGAATTGCAAGCAGATCTAGTCAAACATATATGGGTAAAGTTTGAAATGTTTCGTGATTAAATAGATTGTTTGTGAGTTGAGTCTATTGTACTAATTAAGTTATGTGTGTTTCATTTTAAGTGTGTTGTGTGTTGTGTGTTGTGTGTATTGTATTGTATTTTAAGTTTTTTGTAATTACGAATATAAAATTAGAGAAAAAAAATTAAAATAAATTTTTAAATTAAAAAAAAATAATTATTTAACTCTTAATTATTTTAATTTAATTTCGATTGATAATTTAAAAATACATGAATAATTATAGTTACGATAAAAAACGACATAGCAATGAAATTTGACAAACAAAATAGTAATGATAAATAATGCGATAAAAAAGAATAGTAATGATAATAATAATAAAGCGGTAAAATGAAGAACCTGTAAATGTAGAAAATGGAAACAAAGAAAACTTAAATTGAAGTAGAAGACAAAATTAGATCTGATACATAAATTAAACGGTAGAAATAAATCCTAAAACTAATTTGGTAATATTCCCCGATGTGGAGAACTATTACTTTTACATTCTAAGAAAGAGCTATGAATGAAAAATGGTGGAAAAATGGACGAGAGAGAGAGAGCCTTGTTACGGTAACTGCTTTCCAATATATACTCCTCTGATAACTTGTTTTGGTGAGAGAAAATAGGAAGACTTGGTGTGGTCATCTGTGAAGAAAAAGTAGGAGGAAGTGGTTTAATTATTGCAAATGAAGTTACGTGGTTGAAAAAGTGTTGTGACGAGGGGCAAGGAATGTGACATGGGGAACACATGCATTAAGCATGCCGACCGCCAGGGTTAGGTGACGACCGTCACCCTTTCCTTTTGCTCCTTCCGATCGTCAAGAGGGTGTGACGTGCGTCACACCTTGCGCGCATGGGCCACACGCCTTTTTTTTTTATTTGTGGGCCTTGGGTTTTTAGTGGGATTTTTTTCTTTTCTTTTATATTTTATGCATTTTTACTTCATTTCTTCTCATTCTTACTCCTTTTCTCAAGCAAGCTTTGTAAACATTAAATTCCTGAAACACATTAAAATACTTGCATAATACCAACATAAAGTAACATAATTAAAATAAAATAGAGACATAATTTATGTTAATCAAGCCAAATATACTATACATTTTTGTGTTATCAATGTGCATTGCATTTTTACTGTATCCCATATACTCATGCTGTGCTGTCTCTGTTTCATGAGGGGTGGGTGTTACAAGAGGTAAAAGGCCCAGTACCCAGGCCAAGTGACAAATAACAAGAACATTAGGAATATAGTGGAACATGACCGGTAAGGGATGTAGATCTCCCTATTCGGTTATGTCGTCCATGCTTAGATGAGGTCCCATGATGCCATCATTATCACGTAGGTGTATGGTGACAGTATTCTCTAAATGGACCCGATATTTTGAGTTACCCTTGCATTACCCTGACCTAGTTTTGACCTATGACTTAGGCGAGAATGAATGCAATATTTTATAGGTACAGATGGTGACTGTTATGTTATGTCAATATTGTTTGGTTCTCAGATTTATTTTCTGAGTTTTATGATCTGGTGTCTCAGAGGCTCCTTTGATTAGTGTTCCGGGTTTTCGATCCTGGTATTCATGGTGTAGTCAGAAACAACACAACATATAGTATTGGGGATACCTTGGTTCCATGATCATTGTATTTGCATCATAGCATATTTAGTTTTGTGAAAGAAATGTATAAAAAAACATATGTGAAAAGGAAACTAATCTGCATATGCATACCATTTCCAAGTTGATCTGTGGTTGTCATCAAGAATGGATAATAACGTTGGTATAGGCAAAGATCTGCTTAAGAAGACATATTGTTACCATTTTCACGGCTTTCTACTGACTCAATTGAAAGAATTGGGTTTTCTTGTGTCCAGTCCAAATGAGAAGACGTTCAGAGCTAGATATGGGAATCTGTTGCCATTACTGTATGATGGTTATGAACATTGGGCTATGATATCTCTTCTGCAATTTTACGATCCTCTGTTGTGTTGCTTTACATTCCAGGATTACCAACTAGCACCAACTCTTGAGAAATAGGCATACATACTTAATGTCAAGATTCTGAGTTGCACATTATTTATCTGCTTACCCAAAGTTCCTGATTATATGGCTACCGCTAAGGCTCTTTATTTGAACCTTAGCGATGTGAGAAATAATTGGGAAATAAGAGATGACACGCCTGGTTTTCATTTAGACTTTTTGATAGCCAAATCTAGAGAGTTTGCAAGAAACAATGATTGGATCACGTTCAATGCATTACTAGCCGTCATGATCTATGGCGTCATCCTTTTGCTTAATATGGAGGATTTCGTGGATTTCTCAGCCATATGTGTGTTCATGAAAGGAAATCCGATGCTGACAATTCTTTCCAATACTTACTATGCTATTCATTCTCGGCATGGCAAGAAAGGGTGTGTTCTATGTTGCATTACTCTTCTTTACAAATGGTTCATGTCGCATATGCCTATCAAAGGACAATTTGTTGACACCGCAAATACTCTTTTCTGGTCACGGAGGACTATGGCTCTTACTTCTTATGATGTCGTCTGTAATAACATAAGGGGCGTAAAGAAGATCATAGTAAGATGTAGAAGTTTTCCTAATGTTCCGCTCATGGGGACTAATGGTTGTATAAATTATAATCCTATCTTAGCACGACGTCAACTAGGATACGTCATGGCAGATAAACCAACAAATCGTGAAGTAGAAACTGTTTATTTCAGCACAAGAGAAGACCTTATCTTGCTAGAGAGGATGAAAAGAGTGTGGAATCATGTTCATCAACATGGAACAACTCTTTTTGGTAAAAAGGGGTGTTTAGCTCTTAATCCCTACATATAGTAGATCAAAGATCGAGTGAAGATGATATTATTGCCTTACAGGAGTGAAGTATCATTATACCCACAACCTACTTTTGGATTATCATCCGATGATTCGTTAGCATTGAACGCCGTAATTGGTCAATCACTTCCACGTGAATCGTCTGTTCTACAACCCGCTTCAAGTGAATCCAATTTTGTGCCGGTGGAACTCATTAGGAAGGCTGAAGCAGATAACCTCAAGTTAGAGGCGGACAAGCAGTATTTGAATTCGGAGCTTGCTTTTGTTGCGCAGGAAAAACAGAGGTTGCTTCATGAGGCTAAACTGAAAGATAGGGTGTTAAAAGAATATGGTTTGGTCAAGCAATCAAAAAGGCCAAGAGTTGAAAGGTATCAAATACCAATTCAGATGGAAGCTATGAGAAATATTCAAAGTTATCTTGTCAAGAGCAAGCAGAAGTTTGAAAGTCTTCGAGCGTCTAAAGACCGTATGCAAGTCGATCATAAATAGGAAGTCAAAGCTTTAAGGAAACAACTTCGTGAGGAAGAGTCCAAATCACACGAAGCCTTCAAATGACAAGAAATCCTAGAGAAACAGGTCCAAAGTCAACAGGCGCAGATTGATGAGCTCTAGGCGTAAATCAGAGAGAGGAATTCCTTGAGGCTCGCGACGGATACACGATTAAAGAAGAAGGATGCCCATGTGGCCCAAGTAACTACAGAATTAGCTCAACTCAAAGCTCGGTTAGGAGTTTGATACTGTCTTTTACCTCTGTTGATCTCTTTGTATTTTATTGGTTCACAACCAGTTTTGTTGGACGGGTTCCTTTGATTTTTATCTGTATAAACTCATTTTGAGATGTCTTTTGTATGGACGATCTTTTCCTATGATATATGCAGTCTCTTTCTTTAATTATGATTTATCCATATCCCGTTATTTATATTATTGATGAAGATCTAAGATCTCCCTGGAAATGGTAAAATATTGCATTCGCATATCATTCATTCATACATTTTGCGTCATGACAGGTTTCTGGCCGGTACTCTTATCTTGATTATGCTTTTCTTATCAGAATTCAAGATGGCTACTCATCATTACTCTACCAGGAACAACTTTCTAGGTAAGATGGAACTCTTACAAGTAGAGCTTGCAGAAGTCAGGGCTCAGATGGCCACCAGATGACCCAGTTCATGGAGGCCATCGCCAACATAAATAGCGAACAACATGAATTAAGGGCTCTTGTGGAGAGACCTCGTGTTGAAATGGAACGCCTGGAAGTCTAAGACTTCTCAGTGGGACAACCACGTCCCCAATCAGTTGTAAACTTGAATCTTAATGGCCATGATCGTGACCAGGGTATATAGTTCAATTATGGCTGTTTTCTACCGATCCCTCCACCATATCTCCTTGATGGTAATCCTCGTGGACAGGGTCCAAATATGGGTTTTCATGATGACATGCTGTCTGCGCATGGTAGTGAGGATAATTTCTTGGGTAATGATCAGAAGTTTTGTCATCCCGAAGAAAGGTTGAAGGTTGTTGAAGGAGTAAAGATGTCTGGCCTGGATATCAATGATTTGGGTTTGGTGCTTGGGGTGAGGGTTCCCCTAAAGTTTAAGGTTCCAGTTTTTGACAAGTATATTGGTGTCACTTGTCCCAAAACACATGTCAATTCCTACTACAGAAAGACGTATTTGTATTCAGAATATGATAGGTTTTTGATGCATTTCTTCCAAGATAGCCTGTCTGGGGCACCTTTGGAATGGTATATGCAATTAGAAAGCTCTCGTATCAGACGCTGGAGATATTTGGTGGAAGATTTCCTTGAACAATATCAATTCAATGTTGATCTGGCACAAAATAGGACTCAATTGTAGAGTTTGAAACAAAAGTCCAACGAAAGTTTCAAAGAATATGCTCAGAAGTGGCCGAGCTTGCCGCTAGGGTTCAACCACCTATGATGGAGAGGGAGATGATTGACCTTTTCACCAATACTCTTCAAAACCATTACTTTGTATCTTGCACTTTGTTTGCTAGCTTTGCCAAGATGGTAACTGTTGGTGAGCGTATAGAAAGTGGATCAAAGTCCGGGAAGATTCAGTCTGCTAATACTAGTGCTTCTACCAGTGGTGGTGGAAAGAAAGTATTCGGTGGTTACCCTAAGAAAAAGGAAGGGGAGACCAGTGTTGTGTA